CCACTGATGTGGCTTGTTTAGTTCTTAATGTAGCCACACAAACAAATCAGCAACCGCCGTCACCTCTTTAACCAGACATTATGAAGCACAGGTCACATGTGCCGATGTCCACATGTGCCTATTCGACAGTGTTTTCCAACAGCTATTTAATGCTACCTTATGCGTTCTAGCATGCTCAATTATTGAGATACACGAGTCTATGAAGTGTCAATCCGACCAATTTTTACGTGGTTTCAACCATCAATGATCATACTTACCATAGTTCAGAACATCTTCCAACTCATGATACAGTGTTATAAGAGGCTTCCCAACGCCGTTTTCCACGCGACTCTAACTGTCTTAGTTTTCGAGATGCTAGAGGGAGCCTCTCAGGCCCCTGTAGAGCAGAGGTGAAAAACCGTAAGGGTCAAAGCTGCAGAAAAACGTCCTACAGCACATTCGAAAACAGGGTGCTAACCTCGCTTGGCCTATGGGCTGGATCGTGAAAGCAGACCTCCTCATGCTTTACCTTTGACGGGACCATGCGTCTGCGGTATGACATTCTGCTCCTAATTGAAAAAGAATTTCGGTGCGCTGAGGGAATTCAGAACGGGCCCTGGGCACGAATCCACGATTCGTCTTGGCCATTACTGTCCCTGACAGGTTGTTTGGAACTCTGGGAAATTTTGATCGTCTTTTGCGCCGCAGCCAGCCTAATCCACGAGAACCAGTCAAGTCATTCCGCGCCGTTCGGGAGAAGGTCCATTCATCTTAAAGCATGTCTTTCTGGTCAAAGCGAGCAGAAAATTGGATTGTTTATCTCAGCCCGCTGCTCATTTGCTGAGTCGGCCGCATTCGCATGAGCTTCCAGGGTGGAGTAATTTACACTGAAAGAAATGATCTCGACATTAATTGCCTCGATTACTGCTGCAGGAGCATACTTTGTTCCAAGTCGTTACGGAGCATAACTGCGGATAAAATATCGCCTTAGATCTAGCAAGCTTGTTAACCGTAATGAAAAAGTGCTAAGAGCATGGCAGACCATGAACGGCAGTATGAACATCCGCAGAGCAAGTTCTGCACCGGATAGCGTTGTGGCACGGCTAGATGAAGTGGCACACAGGAAAACATTCCTCGACTCGGACTGTTCCCCATCTTGCAAAGAACGATAAAAGTTATGCTAAAGGCTGTGTGGCGCCTTCGGCAGTGAGCCACATGGAAAGCTTGTCGGCCACGAAAATATAGGCTTCAACGCCCCAGGCCGGGAGAGCCAAGTCGCTCTACTTTCATCAAGGCGCTGTGTTATAACACATTGAATGGTTGAGTTATAGAACTTGTTTGGCTTTCTAAAACTGCATTTTTCCGACTGGTTTGGAACTGGAAAGACAACTGGAGGACAACTGTCAGACAACTGGAGGACAACTGTCAGACAGCTGGAAGGTCTGTCTGACAAATTTCGAGTTTTGCTCGAATGAGGTGTTTTGAAAAGCCGTAAGGCCGTTCACCTTGCCAGCCAAACGAAACCTTGCCAGCCAAACGTGATGTCAATGCTCGTTAATTTTACTGGTCTTCAAGGTCTGAGATAGCAACTGCACTTTATGCTCGACAGCTTTGCCGCATGTTCCACGCCTATATAACGGCTATGCAATGCACAACTGCTGTTTTTTAAGGGGGGGGGAAGAGCTTAGTATTTGGATCACAGATTGCCTCCATAACCTTGCACCTTTTTGGCCCCAGTTAAGAATGACGGCGAGTCCAGGTGACGTCACAATTTGGCTATTACATTGGGGTCAGGATAACATGGCCGGTACCACCAATATGTTTCGAGCACGTTGCACTGTTTGAAAAAGAGCCTCTGGTGACGTGGTCAGACGTGCGATGCAAAGCATAAAGCTTTTTTGAAGCACCGCATGTATCAGCCCGACCAGGAAATAGATCTATTTCACGTTTCAATCCCGATACAGGTATATGTGTGATATGTGTGATATGAGATGTCGCACGGTCAATCTGCCAGAATCCATCATAAGCGAATAGGCGGTCATGAGCCGTGACATAGACGTTCTATCAGTGCTATACTTAGGAATGTATTCTTAGCATGCATATATTTGCGGCGTTAATCTTGCACTCGCATTTTGTCTTCCGGGAATATGCATCAAGCAGTGATGCATTCCAGCGAGAGTGATATGAAGTAGTCCAATATGTTTAAAAAAAATAGCTCGGAAACCTGGCTCTGTTTCGATATCCTTTCCTTTGCACTTTATTCAATCCAAGGTCTCAGTGCACTGAGGCAAACCAATCACGTTTCCATCTGGTGCAAAGTTTGCTCCATCCGTTTCCTATCCATCAGACTTCTTCGACGCTTGCGCGATGTAGATGTCTGCATACTGCTCCTCTTGCACATTTCACACGCAGCTTGTCATCGGGTACACGACGGGCGCCATATGCGTGGACGCCCCTGACTCTCAGGCCATGCGGGAACAATACCTAGCGGGCTAGTAGCTACATAGCAATCGCTTGAATGGCTCACAGTTTCTTTCGTTGAAAGAAGGTGAACTCTTACCCACGAAAGATAGTTTTATACTGCAACGCATGTAACTGAAAAATATCCGTGTTTCCAGTAACGCCATTCAATCACTGATCCATAACTCTGCGTGGAAATGTGAGAGTGGTACAGCAGTGAAGTACACTAGACCGTCCTTCCTGTGGAGCGTTGGATGCTGAACTGAACGGACTATTGACTTGCCGGAGATAACAATTCTAAATTGTATGACTTATTAAACATTATAACATGGATAATACTTTCTGAACATTGCGATGTCTAATCATGAGTCTCGCGGAAGGCAATGGTGTGTAAACCTCACCCTGATCAGGGAGGGGGAGGGGGGGGGGGGTCCAAACGATCCCCTAAAGCTTTCTGAGAACATCTCTACGCATGCCATGCAATCACGTCCAAATTTATGGTAGCACATGGCTAATTCATTGCCCATGTGTTTACACAAAGGCGCGTTCTTAGCTTTCCTGGTTTCCGAGAAGCGGCGGTATTTTAGGTACATTGCTCGACGATCAACGTTTGGCGCGAGTGGCCGGTGGAAACAGACGAATCCGACGACCGCGCGCAGCGGGCCGACAGCTCCACATTAACGAAGCCCTTTGCCATTCATATATGCTAAAAACACTCAAGGCAAGTGTCAATGCACTCAAATTCAAACCAGGAACACGTGTGCGTCAGTTTCATGTCGCTGCTGGCGTTGTTCTGTACTTTTTACATGTAAAGGTGAAATAGTACGATTTTCAGGAAATATAGACATCTTACTCGGAATAATGGGATCAATTGCTGACACAGCAGCTTAGAACTGAAAACATCTCGCAAATCTCGTTGCTAACAAACAATGGTTTTTATGCGAGGCTTTTTTGTAGTTTGGAAGCGCAGGGGAGGTGCGTCAATGCTCTATCAGTCTGCGTTATATAGAATCGCAGATCAGAGCGACAATCAATGACAAAACTGTCACACTGAAGACAAAATGGCGCAAACTTTGCTCTGACTGGACCATAAATGTGACAAAAATATACCTTCCGTAAGAGTCAAGAAAAAGGCTGCAGGTGCTGATTCATTAGCTTCAAGTGCCTTTTTCAAAATGTATTGATGCGCTATTTATCCCGTGCCAGCTTTGCACTCACATGCATTCGTTCCTGGGAGCCAGTGACCTCACTCCGGTGGCTACTATGCCCTCACGTTTTCTGCCACTGCCCGCTCTGTTCGGCGATTCCTTTTCCGTGTGGGAAACCGATAAGGAACGACGGTTGTGTTTCATGCATTTAAATGCGCCTCCTGGAGCAGTGGACGAACATTGGTTACGGGATTCGATCAATTTAGTCTGAAAGCATTAGTAGGCTGTGTTTCGGCCGTGGAAGCTGCAGGTAGTACGCCTCTAGTAAACATGCTCCTCGTACAAATCTGCTCGGGAACGAACCTGTGCTGAGCGTGATTTGTGAGGGAACGTGCAAATATTTTATGAATAGGGCATTTGGTATAAGCACCCTGGCCGACCACCCGGCTGTGGTGCCGCACTTAGCCCCGCCATTAGCGCTACGGCGCGAGGCATTGATTTAATAATCCACCGTCGTCTACGGTCGCCTACGAGTGAACAGGAGAGATGCCGGATCTCGCCAGTTACCGCAGACAGCCTTCCTTCGAGAACCACAATGATGCAGGCTGATGTGTCGCATCGTAGGACTGAATACGGCATTTTAGAATGCATATATGTTCCGCTTACTTCAGCAGCAAATGCGCTGTCCTGCAGGGCATCAGATGGGCAATGCGGGTTGTCTGATGTGCAACACAAGGTTACATCTTAGCAGGGCATGGAGCGCCGATCTCGGCCGTTACATCGACGCTCTAGCACTAAGCTAGCGCATGCATGAGCCATGTCTGTAGCCACAATGTGTAGCCGCACAACGCCAGGCGCGTAAACATGAGGCATCAGAAATGTGGCCAGATGACGCACACACACACACACACACACACACACACACACACACACACACACACACACACACACACACACACACACACACACACACACACACACATATATATATATATATATATATATATATATATATATAAATGCGAATCATGGAAAGCTTCTAATATTTCTATAATGCAACTCATTGGGGAAGTTAACTGATCATAGCGGTCGTGATTCCTGACCAATGTAAACGATAAGTAAGTGTGTACACGTACTCATCAGCGTGCCAGCACATGCTTCTTGGATGACATGCCCTGACACCAAGGGTATACCATGGAACGCCAGATGTATGATGGATCAAGAAGAAGGTGATTATCACTCATACCCTTTCAATATATTCATATATTTAATTAACATTTGAACATTTACTCATCCATCAGCCAATTCCACAAGTTAATGCAACAAACGTATCTGTACAAGCGAATAAGCCACCCGAATACTGTGCCGAGCATCTCTTCAGTGCCCATATAAACGCTGCCTGACATCCCCCCCCCCCCCCCCCATCTATCATTGCTCTAGGCCCGGACACGTGTGAGTCTCGAAGAGCTTTGACTGCCCATCACATTCCGACCAATAACAAGTGCTGATCGTCACCAGGTCTCGCTCCCTCTCTCGCTCCCTCTCTCCCTCCCTCTCTCTCATCCCGCCAACCTATCACAGTCTCGCTATCTGCCGTCGCGCACCAGCATCGTCATCAGCACCATCGCCGAAGCGGCAGGCTCCGTCCGCTCGCCGCCACGCGGCCGCGATGCGGGTACGTGTCCGTGAATTCCCGCGCGGTGGTCGCCGAGTCGGCCCGCTCCGGACGCGCGGCGACGACTGGGTCCGCCACCCAGACTGTCCGGGCCCGTCAGGCCTCTGTCAGGCCCCGTGCAGGGGTCGGCGACCAGCGGTCTGGGGCCTTTCAGACCTCTGTCCTGCTCTGGCCAAGGGTCGGCGGCCGACCGGCTGGGGCCTGTCAGGCCTCTGTCAGGCCCCGTGCAGGGGTCGGCGACCAGACGTCTGGGGCCTTTCAGGCCTCTGTCAGGCCTCTGTCCCGCCCCGGCGTCGGCGCGGTGTCGCGAGGACGTCGCCGACGGGCCGACTCCACTCCCCACGACACGGAGAGGAACAGCCTGCCGAGCTCAGCGTGTGAGCTTGCGGTCGGCCCGCCGCGCTGGCGGGTCGGACATCGCCGCGGTCCCACCACCCAGAACGCACCGCCGGCACAGACGCCGCCCGCTGGGGCTGCTCAGCCTCCGATGGGTCATCGTGATGTGGTGCAAAGGACGTCCGAACTCGGCTTCATCAGCTTCGCACCTTCATGATGTGCGGGGTCACAGCGTCCATCAGCTCTCCGGCCATTGACAGCGCATGGTGATGCCACCACGTGCACCAGTCGGTCGGCCAACGGCTTGTGACGTCACTGGGACGCAGCCCAGAGGTGCGTTGCTGACGTGTGACATCGCAGCACTGGATTTCAGCCGGGCCGCCGCCGGAGTGTGACGGCACGGCGGCGTACCCCAGCCAAGCTCTGATGACACGTGACGTCGGAGTCCTGCTACCTCGACGCCATCAGCAGCAGACATATTGACATCACAAAGGCTGTGACGTCACTGAGGCGACGTCGCACGGGCGGGGCGGCATCTGCAAGCGATCCGAGCAATGGTTAGATTTCTGTCAAAGGTCGAGTCCGATATGAAGACATCTTAACAGGACATTTCAGCTGGATAAATAACCAAACCAAGGCGTGAGACAAATAATGGTAAAAGAGCTCCGGCAGCTGAGAGAGAACACAGTTGAGCCAAAAATAGACGAGTTTGGGTGTGAATATCGTGGTTCTTGCGCGAACAGAAAGCATGTATCATGAAACGATCGGAAAAATGACAGCAAATAATACCATGGGTACGGTTTAGTAAGCTTGGTGAACGTCGGGCGAGTCATGATATGCATGCCACACTATCATACATAATAGCACTCCACGCAAATAACTCAGTGTCCATGATACTGCGTACTGCGTTTAGTTGGGTGTCTGAATCAGGACCATCTTCTTTTTAAGAAATAATCTGTGTTCGAATGATCGCACTTCTCTGCTGTCAGCGGCTGCAAGCAAACTGATCAATCATGGCTATTAATTTTGGCGACGAATCTTAGCTAACTAGGGAAGAAATGACGCAATACATTTGTTCACAACAATGATTGCCACTGGGTATCGCAGAAGCAAGATGCCCAAGACAAAAAATTGTTCATCGCTACGCATTAAAACTCAATGCGTCGCGTGGTACAGTGAAGGCTGCTGTGATCCCAAAACACGAAACGGATATTTAAGCACGACGAAACTTATCGTTGTAGCGTGGATAACGTATATGATATACTAGCTTGATATGTGCAACTACAATCACGCCTTGTGACACGTAGCATCCTAGCCATCTATTGCACATCTGTGACTTCTTGCCTTCGAAAGCAGTTTTTGTTTTTCAGCGTAAGCATCTCCCAAAAAACATCGGAAAGTGACACGCGTTGACTCCGTCACACCCTGTTGTTCGAACAGTAGCAAAGAGGGGATTGTCTGAACAGGACTCGGAATTTTTCACTTGGGCCCAAGTACTATTCGTCGAACAGTCACAAAACATAAGGCGCGTGTATGACAATACTCGACCGGACGGAGACCCTAGTGCGCGTCTGGCTTCACTTGTCCAAAATGTTCGTGCGATAAGCGATGCTGCCGCTTTGTGCGAGTCCCAAGATCCTGCCGGAGCCCAATATCACGGGCAATTATCTTGACCTGGGTCGCTGTATATCAACCCGTCGTATGTGCTGACATATGACCTGACTCGGCAGATGCGGAGCTGAATATTTCGGCCGCGGACTGTGTTCAACGAGCGCGGCCGGAATGGGTTCCAGCAGGGAATTGCTCAGCCGAGGGTCGGGGACCTTCCCAGGCCAAATTTGACGAGCGGTGAGTCACCCAAAGCGATGAATTCATTTGGACATAGCGACGGACGCCAGTCAAATTGGTTTTGGAGATAATTATAGATGCCCCTGCTATTGAGATTTCCACTGGATAGGCGGTGGCGTGAGCTTGCACCATTGTTGTGCGACACTCGGCTACGTCTCCATGTAATGCAGCCTGAGTTTCTTGCTCTGCAATATGCAAATTGGTGAACAGGCAAATTTAGAGTTTCGCTCAAGGCGGATGATGCTTTCGCTTTTGTGATGTCCTCATGCCACGAGAAAACTGGACTTGACTAAAAAACGATGAAGTCTATTCAATGAAAGATATACCAGTTGAAAAGTAGCGCAATATTCATAAGAGTTTAAAAGCCTGTGGCTTTTCCAATCTTATAATCGGTCTAACTCTGTGGTTAGCAATTCAGCTTTTGTCGTGAGACAGGACCCAAGAGTGGAAAACCTCAGCCTCGGATCCTATAACGTCTTGTTGCCTCGCAGATCGGAGTGTTTTGTTATTCAGCCGTCATCCGACGGCAGATGGAACACCCCGTTCCGTTTTAAAGGCATCTTCTAAACATATCAGCGCAACATAACACAATTTCTGTTCGCAGAAGTTAAATCCTGTTGCACCTGGGCTGTAAATTTCAAGTGGCTCGCACATCAGAGCACTGGCCTGCGGACACGTGCTGAAAGCTCTGCGAAGCAACAGTCAGGGAAAAACGGCGCTCCCCTACGCATCCCCAACCCAGTGTGCATCCGATCTTCTTGTCGAAGAGCTTTGACGGTGTGAGAGGGTTATTTCTTAAAGTCTTCAATGCTCGAGACCCGCACTGAGATTTCTCCACATCAATGTCACGTCTGATGAAGCGTTTAAAAAATTGCACTTAAACAGGCGCAGGCGAGTGAAAGTGACTGGGGGATGTGCATTTTAGTTTGAGTCAAATAAGGCTGAGGGCGCGTCAAGTCAAGCCTTCAAAACCACTGGAAATGACAGAGTACTAACAAACCTTAAAGATGTACTAATGTCATCGTGGTGCTTGAAGGTCGTACGTGCCAGGCCACTAAAGGTCAAGACAGTGATGTGCTTTTGAATGACCACAGGTGACCCCATATCACCAATTGATCATCGGCTTCTTACAAGCGTCCGCGGGTAGAAAATGTAAAACCCATGGCCAGTATGGCAAAGCTACAGAGACGAACATTCTTAAACGGACACAAGCTTTACTAAGTGGAAATTGGAGGTGCACCACCGGTGTTGTTTTTAAAGAGTAATGCCCATAATAAGCAGAAAGACCACTGACAAAGAAAACCCCATTTTCAGATTCATTCTATCCTTCAATTGCCAATCTCTGTGGCCATTGCAACCTTAAGCTAACTGAAATGGAAGCCAGTGCGGCCCGTTGCCAGGCCGTCCTATAAAGTGAGAGCCGTATCCCTCACGCAAAGCACTTGTGACGTCATGGCCTTTCCGCGCACTACCTCGTTGTCAAGTTGCACCCATTTTCTCACCCTTCCAGCTCATCATCGACCTGTTGTCACGGTTTCTTCCCGCCGACCCCTTGCCACAACCTGTCGTCACTTGCCTCTCCCTTGAATGACAAGAGACCAGCTGGTCACGGTCCCTGATCATAGCCTCCCGCCGCGGTCCCCCGCGATGGCATATTGCCACGGCCCGTTTCCACGGTGTTTTGCCATCGGACTCTTTCCACGGCCTTTGCCACCGTTCTCTCGCCGCGGCCTGGCGCCGCATTCTTGACACGACCTGTTGTCATCGGCCTTTCACCACGTTGTTTTCCAAGCGTACCAGGAAGCGCCGGCTCGCCCGTGCTCTAGGGAGGTTACGGCACACGCGCTCCCATCAGTCCTGCGGTACGGCCACCGCCGGCGTTATACGGCGGCGCTCAAACGGGCATGATAGGACAGCGCTGAAACGCATGCTATACGACAGCGCCCAAAACGGATGTTATACCGCAGCGCTCAAACGGATGTTATACGACAGCGCTCAAACGAACGTTATATGACATCGCTCAAGCTGATCCGGCGGCGGAGGCGCCAGCGGAGGCAACTGCACGAGATTTGCGTCCGTCGGCGCGGCCCGACAATTTATCGCTCGTCATTCGGGCGATCCGCGCCGTGGCGGCGGTCGCCGCTCGGGCGATTTCGCCCGACAAAGAGCCCGAATGTCCGCCATGTTTCACCTTCCATCGGGGCGTGGTGCGCCGGCGACCGCTTGTATTCAAACGAAACGGAAATTAACGAGACGGCTCAGTGGTGCATTCGCATCAGCAAAAAGGTTTCTGGTCTCGGCTCCGTCGTTTGTATGCCTTTGAGACGAATCACGAGGCGGGGAGATGCAGAAATTGAACGGAATATGCTGACCTAGCCGGCGGCGATACACTGTCAGATCGTCAAAGTTATAAATTTGAACGCATATTTTTGCAAGTGCAGGGAATAGAATCGATACGGAATCACACGAAAGAATAGCATAACACACAAGGGCTTTTATATCGATAGGATAATGTATGCCACAGGTTAGCAGTGATGGGCATGTAGGTTTGTCAGATTTTGCACAGCATGCTCTGGATAAGATCGATACCTCTACCTCTGGATAAAATCTATATATAGAGAATATCATCTTGAAATGGATTACTGACGATTTCTCACGATAATTTAATCAGCACTTGGCTTTTACAATACAGCCAAGCTTGTGCACTTGTGTACACACAGACTTATTAAAGTTACAATGGCTAGAGCAATAATTCTCGCCAGCTTTAGCTGCTTCATCTTTTTCAGTGGCAAAGTGAGGACGAACTGCGCGATGATTACATACACAACCTACTGGACCCAATACGGGCAAGGTCGCTGTGTTGCACGACTATCCCCAAAGATGATGGGCATGACCAAGTTAGTTTGTGAATACGGTGATTAATATTACCTTGATGGAGATGCTTCCTTAATACATAACAATCGTGAGACTCCTGTTTTTAAGCAAAATCCACATACTCCACCAATAGGTCATGGCCAATTATAGCTAGAGGCACTCAATATGCTCAGCCTCGCCCGAGCAAACAGAAAGAAAGCTGCTAACTGACAGAAGACAGCTAAGAGACAATTTGAGAGTGTCAGAATGTCGTAAGTAATGACAATTCACCGTTTCTACGCGACATGAAAAAGCATTTACCTCTATGCCTCTCAAAGTAGCGTAGGTCCTCATTTTTCCTTATTTTTGCCCACGCAGAGAGTGCAGAATCTGCGGCAGCTGTTACAAACTCACCCCTCAAGGTGGCGAATGTGGCGAGACCACGGACGCTGCCAACGCATTGTCGCCTATGTAACACGCGCCCGGGTGGCCGGCTAGATGCCCTTCGCACGGGTGAGGGTGGGGGTGGGGGGTCAATTTGACTCTCCTCCCCCAAGATCTCGGGAACTAAGAAGGCTAGAGACACCAAATTTACAGGGTGTCCTGTACGTGTGTTCACTTAGGTCAAAGTTTGAGCTTCCTAGATCATGATCTTCAGGTCAAATAAGGTCAAACAAGGTCAAATTCCTGGTTGGTCTCCAAAGTGCCCCCAGTAGCTAAACAACTGCTTCTAAGCGAAGGTCACGAGTCCATTTGAGGTCAGTGACATTATTTGACATTTTGAAGGTAATAGTGACCAAAATCATGCAAGACTGCTCTGAGTTCTGCATTTGAA